TTATCTTATCTTATCTTATCTTAAATGATGACTTTGAGAGAAAACAATATCCAAACTGGGACAGCCCTGTGTGAAAAAGTAATTACTCCTTTTTGAACCATTTATTAACTTTGACAAACCATATGAATTGGAAAGCTGAGTTCAGTTTCACTAGCCACGGCAAAGCCTGATTAAATGGTAAATGGACTGGTTCTTATATAGCGCTTTTCTACTCATCTGAGCACTCAAAGCACTTTACACAACTTGTGCATTCACCCATTAACACCAGCACATTTTTCTTAGTGCTTTATAGCTAACATTCACACACATTCATACGCCGATGGATGCATCGGAGAGCAATTTGGGGTTAGTATCTTGCCCAAAGATATTTGGCATGCAGGGGAAGGCAGGAATCGAACCACCAACCTTCCGACCAGTAGATGACCTGCTCTACCACCTGAGCTACAGCCACCCCACTGCCAGACCTCTTGAATCAAGAAGTCACTTAAATAGAATGTGTCTGATAAAATGAAGTATGATAAATGGTATCATGAAGCAAAACATCATGCCAGAAAGAAGCTCTAGAAAAGATGAAAAACAAAGGCATTGGCATCAGTCTGTAAAGGGTTAAAAGGGAATAACAGTGAGATTCATTATCAACAAATGGAGAAAACTTGGACCGATTTTGTTGGAAGGTTCACCACTCCATTTTTATTTTAATAACCCCAAATTGCTCTTGAATGCATCCATCAGAGCATGAATACATGTGGATGTTAGACAGAAAAAGTAGAAAAAGCATAGAAAGAAGATGCTTGTATGAATGGGTGAATGAGTAATGCTGTATAAAGCCCTCAGGTTGAGTAGAAAAGTAAGCATTCAACTAATGTGACCTACCTATAGTGAATGAATCAAACTAGTGTTGCATGATAGTCTTGACTCCCTTCTTGGTTCTGTTTTGGTTGCTTGGTTCTGTTGTGCTACATCTTGAAAAAATTCTAGCAAGAAAACCTGAGTAAGACAAGTAAACTGGAATGACATTTGTATGTGCGGCAGCAATTATGTAATGTAAAACCTACCAATTGACCCTATGTGAAGCAGTATTTAGCCTTCAGTTATGACTAAAAAACACTGATTGCTTTTTTGCATTTGCATTGATTGGATGCTGTAGAAGTAGACACATTCATAACCAATTACTGCCACCTATGTTCAATCACCTACACAGACCACTTTCAGAAACACAGGGTTTCATCAGAACCAGACTTGGGATTCTAAAAGAGATGAGTAAGAAAATTTATTTGTCTGAGAAGCATTATAAAATGCACTGGGATGGCCCAGATACAGACTCAGAGACTAGACTGTAGCTACACTTCAAATGTAGAAGACGACTAATCCTCCACACACGAGGGCATCCTGGTAAAATATTAAAGGATTTGTAGGACACATTATGGATGTGAGAACTATTTTCATAACAAAGACCAATTTTTGCCTATACCATTAACATTGCGGCCCCAAAATAGTTGTACAAAAAAACCTAAACAAACAACAACAACAAAAAAACCCCATAAGATATCATCAAGATATGTTCACAGTTTAAAAAAAAAAAAAAAAACCAACGAAAAAAATTATTGTGCAAAATTTAATTTCTTTAAGATATTTGATGAGGTTAAAAGTCAAAAGTTAATATTTTGTGTTTACTCAGGTTGCATTTGTTTTATTTTATATTTAATCTGAATGTACATCTTAGCATATAGATAGAATTTAGAATGTGTTTCACACAAAATTAAAGAAAGCAGAGGTGCGTGGAATATTTTTTCTCAGCACCTTTGATCCAAACCAGTTCTAAAAATGTAGGAACATATTCTCCTCCATTTCTCAGTTAAATGTATGAGTACCTCAAAATTGAACTGACCTGAAAGTACTTGAGGGAACCGAGGGCAGAGGTTATATAAATGTGTATAAAACTAATGAAATTATAAAACACAAGATGACCATAACTATGAACAGAGCACAATAGTCAGTGAAGGTGGTAAGCATGTTATCCTTATAATAAAACAATACTGGGTGAAAATTAAATATCAATCCCAGGATACCCATTCTATTTAAAAATTGAACATAAATTCTTTATCTTATGTATGCATAACATTTCAATATCAATTTTTAGTACAATTTATTATAATAGATTTTATCATACATTAACAACTACAGCAGCTTTTGGCATCCACACAACAGAATTTAAAAAAAAAAATCATGAAAAATTTAATTTTCAAGCTAAGGAAAGAGAAAGTTTGAAATGTAATTGTCTTTTAAAGATTTGGAGCAGGGAGCATACAGGTGAGGTGTGGATGGGCACATTTTACATTGAAACAAAAATGGCTTTTAAAGTATCTTTTCATACTTTTCACCAGTGAGGTCAAAATACTTTACAGTCTGTACAGTTCAGCACACTACAAAGTTTACAAAGCATGGAGGAAAATTTACATTTTTTAAATTTTATTTTATTGTTTTAAATAGAAAAAAAATTGTCCGATGGGCTTCTGCGAAGGACCAAAAAAAACATACAAATGTGTCACTTAAATCATTGTCCCTTTAGTTTTGTTTGTTTTAAATCTGTCTACCACGTCCATAATCATTCTTTCATGTTCACATTCTCTATCCCATTCTTTTCATATTCCAAGTAAATTCCTATTACAGTAGGAAAATCATTCCTAACTGGTCTACACAGTGGGGTTAGAACTGACAATCCAGTTAATATTGTTATTCTGTTGGTCACAGTTCAGTGAGGTGAAATGGTGATTTTTTAAAAAAAAATTTACTGTTAATGTATATAGTTGTAGCAGTACCTAGTACTGCTGAAGAAGTTTACCTTGCCCAGTCATAACAGAATCCTTTGCATCTTCTATCTGCACAACTGCTATGCTCCCACTGGTTGGTACTCTTGTGCTGTATAGCTAATCACACCTCGGTCTGTTGCTGTGAGTCCGTGATGATGGTCACCCCTCGATGAAGCTCATCCATACTGTCAAAGTCACTGCCATGTTCAGAGTCATCCAGCCCACAGGGGGTTGACATGTCTGAGGCTGATGATGCACCAACGGACAGTCGGATACTTCGGGACACAGAGTCATCAGTGTCCCCATTTCCTGGTGTTCGCCCACTCACTGAAGAGCTAAAAACTTCATTTGGCACCTCCCCAGTGGGTATTTGATGGGGAGGTAGGTACTGGCTAGGGTGGAAATATGGTCTGGCATGCTGATGCCTTGTGCTCAGTGTGCTCTCCTTGGAAAGTGATGTATTGGTAGAAAATGGTGCATAGGGCTCAGTATAATCCTCACCTGTGGGCAGTGGAGGTGGCAGTTGGTCTTGATTAAGGAACTCTTCTTCGTGGGGAGGGAGATAGTCACTGTCGATGTCATAGCCCCCTAGATAGTAATCTGACTCCAGTTCTCGAGTACTTTCGCTAAGGCAAGGGGTCGAGCCTGCTACTTCGTTTCCATGACTTGCCTCGTAGCCTGGCACCTCTTCAATGTCTGAGAGCCTCGGGCTTGGCATCCAGTCTGATGTATCCCAGTGATATGCTAGACGGTAGAAGGGGAAATGGTTAGCAATAATCTGAACTGTAAAAATGATAAAAATTCATTTAAGAGCAAACACTCCAATGTGGAATTGGAGCATGGAAACATGCCTTCAGTAAGCCCCAGATGGGCGTGGTAACATCAACACTACATGGAAGTGTTGAAATTCAGGAATAGGACAAGACATAGTCTATACAAAAAACCTGTTAGGTGTGGCATGCACTTTGCAGATTGGTGTTACAAATGTGACAGCATGCTCAACTTCTTGAAGAATTGGCAGCATACAAGCCATGCAGTCCTTCCCCCAAAGAAATAAATAAAATGACAAAACAAACAATAATAACAAAAACAAAACAGTAGAAATCCATTCAGTTCAGTTAGAGCATTATAAAATATCTTGTAAATTATCTGCAAGGAAGTCATTTAAAAATCTCCTTCTCTCTCTCTATCCATCTATAATGAGACTAAGTATATTCCATGGAAATCGTTTTAGTTTGGGGGATTTTCAGTACACATTTGGACAAACACAAACATACACACATTCTGATGGATGGAATTGGGGTTCGGTATCTTGCCCAAGGAAACGTTTACATGGAGGAGCTGAAGATTGAGCTGAATCAAACTATTAGTTAGTAGACAAGTAGCTCTAATTATGATTTATGGGGCAGATTTGTAGAATAAATTACTAAAAAAAGATTATTTGCCACTACAGTATGTCATTAACCTGGTGCTCTCTCTTCCCAAAAGTATTAAGCCCTATTCCAGCTCTTAAGCTGCACGTTTCTAATAAGCATTTACTTGCCCCACCAATCTACCACATGCTTATTATTATGTTGTTTCTATTCTTTCTCTGTGCTTGTTCTTTGCTTTCCTGTCAGTCAGTGGCAAGGTCAGAAAGGTCAGAACTGGTCAAATAGCTGTCTTGTCCACTGGGGATCACTGGGTTTTTCTATAATGTAGGCTTTGTGTGAACTGGCTCTTAAAATAAAAACAAATTTAAATTATGTTACGGTGTTTCAAAAAGGACTAAATATTTGCTTGTCCAACCACTGTCACAATTTCCATGGCATACACTTCCATTTACTATGTATGTCCAGTGGATTGTTTGATCTTAAGGTCAGCTTTCATACCTGAAATCACAGCAAGACATATACTTACCTAGACTGGTTAATTGTTTTAATGGAATGGAATTTCTTTGGATTAAGAGAAACTTCCTGTCTCACTTCAATACATCGTCTTGAATACGCTTTCCCATGGTATCTGTAGTCCTCTGGCATAGCATAAATATTCATTCTTATCACTTAAGTTTGGCTTACTGAACGAATAATTGACTAATGACTCTGAAAACTGAATTCAGATTTCATTTAAAATGAGTTTAAAAATGCCAGTGAAACACAAAAAAAGATTTCCATGCATAAAAACAGAATACAAACAAAACTTAATGGGAAAACTTAATAACACAAGAACTGGCACAGTAGGGTGGAAAGTAGAGTGGTCACCACCGTGGCCTATTTAGCGCAGCACAAGACAAGCTGTGGAATAACTTATCTATACAAAGCTTTGACCAGAGAAGGAGATGAGGAATTTACCACTGACAAACTATAGGGCTATAGGGGTACAAAGATACAGCAGGTAGACAAAATAATTTCAGTAAGAACCATTTGTTTCTGATTTCGTTTTTAATTTTAATGCAGACCATTTATGAGGTCTGTCCCTGACTATACACCTGATAGATACACCATAAAAATAACTATTGGGAAAGCTTCTTTTATGTCAATGTTCCTCCACAAATGTGCTGATGGTATATAAAGTTGTCACTGGAAACTGTTTCGAAAAGGGCAGTCAAGCATAACACTGGAGAGAAGTGTTATTCTTGTTATTCCCAAATGGAGAAGTGCTGAGGCAGGCAAAGTGAATGATAAAAAATGTTTTATTGGCTGATCCAAAAATTAAAAGAATTCCAGAATTCAAAAAGGTGAAACAACAAAAGGAATATGCAAACTGACAATCAGATAAAAACAAAAGGAAACCGTTTTTTCTCACTACTGTTGTTTTTGTGCATTCTCATCTCTTCTGTCTTCCATACTCCTCCTGTGACCTGGAAATCAATCTCAGTCCACCTTTTAGAATTAATAAAATGTATCTGGAAGACAGAGGAGAGAGAAGACTGCAAAGGTGTATCCTGTATGAGTATGTAGCTCACTTAATTGTGTAAAAAAATATTTGTTGTAAATGAAAAAATACACCTCAAATATGCACTATGAAAAATGTCTGAACCTTTTTGTGTTGACTGTTGCATGTATTTTATTTATAGCCTACAGCATATTTAAAAAAAACAGAGGCTAACCCAAATGCTTTTGAGACAGACACATTTACATACATATAAAAACTAGGTTTCCAAAAAACCCAGTTTTAATATAGACAAAAGGCTGAAAGGTGGGTTTTGCTGTGTTCATCAGTTGTTGTGGAAAATAAAAATTCCAGGGATTTAGTGGTCATTAAAATGTGTTCAGAATTTTTAAATTCATGGTGATTCATCACACTGCTCTCCCCCACATTTGCTGCCTTTATAAGTTAAAAGTATTCAAACTCAGTTGGTACTTTACCAACAGAGAAACGTTACTAGGTATTGATCAAGAAAAAAAGTTGGAGTATCGCAGAGTACTGCCAAAAGACAGTCTTAAGTAAATATTACTAATTCAGAGGAGAATGTGTTCAATGACCACTCACACAAAAAAATTCATTCTGCATAAATTCAAAAACAAAAACTTAAATCTATTTTGTAAATCTTGGTCATGCCATGATTCAAACAAGATGACTATTCATGTACATCCTTTCTGACTCATTGGCTAACAACCTTGCAGTGATAGCGTCTTAGCCAGTGAGCAACCAGTTTTACAGTCAGACTCATCCCTTCTTACCAAGACGGTGTGGAGGCAGATTTCTTTTCTCATGTATTAATCACATATTTAATCATATCACATTAGTTTAGTAACATCACTTTCTCACTTTACTATAGTAAGAGCACTCCTGTCACCAGTTTGCATGCATGTGGAATGTTAACACAGCGAGGCCATTGTAATGGGAGACGTTAAACAGATAGTGGGACTCCTTCTCCTTATCAGGGATGTAAATCCTTAGGCGATGGCCAAGCAGAAAACAAGGTCATAATTCTCTCTGTGAGGGAGAAGGTATAGCCCCCCTGAGAGGGAGTTTGCGTTCTTTGTCTGTGTCTGTATATAAGATGTAAGGGCGGTGGCCACAATTCTAGTGTTTCACTGGGATGCTCTCTCCACATTGCAATGTGTTTATTAAACCTGCTTCAAATGAAGCTCACTGGGTGTGTTGCAGGTTATTGTTAAAATTTCCACAACAAGGGCAATGGTGGAAACACTTTTACAGGATTCAAACTGAACTTCAGAAACCAACGGGCGACGTCACTATAGTACGTCCAACTTTTGGAGGGTAAAACACAGAACAGCCCGTCACAGCCATTACAGGGTTAATTAGTTAGCAAGCTAAGAAATTAATCTTGCTTCATCTTTATATCACTCTGACCATATTAGTTCTAGTTATTGTCACACAAAGAAATAAAGCAATAAAGCTAATTTTATGTTCATTCCCTGTCTTCAAAGTCCTGCATTTGGGCCCTGCTCTGCCTGCCACAAAGCATTTTTATGACAAATCCAATCATCAAAATCTATGTTGTTATGCAGTAAATAGATAAATAAAAATAAGAGCATTAATAGCGTGTGAAACTTCATTTTCCAAAATGCAAGAAATAGAATCTATCCAAAATCTAATTGATGCATGCTAAATCATCCAGCTAAGACAATCCCCCCAAAATTGATCAGAATCAGAATCAGAATCAGAAAGGGTTTATTGCCAGATGTTGAGCAGGTTTACAACATTAGGAAATTGCTGCGGTGCTTCAGTGATTCTGTTCATCTTGACATAGCATTTTCAGTGAGAGAAAAATTGGTCCACCCCAAGGATCTGGTCCCGCAGCACAAACAGAGTAATATTGCCATGGGCCCTGTGTCTACCTGGTTAGCCCAGTGAGACTGTGGAGGCAAAGACGACACAAGAGCTCTCGATTCTCACTCCTGGTTTATCCTTCATCACAACACAACTGAACACTGGCTGTGAGTGGAGCCCATGGACGCAATGGAGGTGCATGAGTATCGTGCCTGACGAAAACAAACGAGAGGAGTCCAACGACCTTGGAACAAAAACATCAGGTAGGCAATGATGCACTGGGCCAGGAACAGTCCAGAGCAATCCATTTTGCAAGAGAATTTGTAAGTTTGTCCGATGTTGACTTACTAATTTTAGTCCTGAAGCCAGTCATTTCATCAAGTTTGTTGGTACTCGAACTGGGACTCCTAGTGCTAACAGTTCTGACAGTTTCTGCGCTCGCTGTAAGTGCTTCAGTGGTATGCAAACTAGAGATGGACCGATCCGATATTACGTATCGGTATCGGTCCGATACTGACCTAAATTACTGGATCGGATATCGGAGAAAAATAAAAAATGTAATCCGATCCATTAAATATCACGAAAGCACCTCACAAAACTTGCCACACGCCGTAACTCGCCTCAGAACGTTAGCACGTCGGAGCAGTATGCATCACGTGATAGAGCGGCTGTGGCATGCGGGACCTGTCGGTGGTCTGGATAGCATTTGGAGCTTCGCTAGCAACCCGGCATTTCATCTCCGACAAAGTTATCCTGAGAGAAGTAAAGCAAGTGTGTAAGTCCATCTCTGAATGTTTGTATAGCATTCCTGCGTTAAGCTTAACAAGCGATATATGGAGCGACTGCCTCTTCTTGCTGCTACTTCAATCATGAAACTGCTTAATGATCAGCTGATCGGCTTTTCTGTCGCGAGTCCGTCTCTCTTCTTTGTTTTTGGCCCACTTTGCACCAGAAAGAGGAAACCAGCGGCTGAACAACAGCAGCACGTTTAAGCTTGATCAGCTGTTGTTAGAATTTATTTATTATTACTTTCTACTCGAGGATCTTTTTCTACGTAGCTGACGGCTGGTAACTGTGCAGGGGCGGATCTAGCAAAGTTTAGCCAGGGGGGCCGATAGGGCATGAACAGGGAAAAGGGGGCAAAAAGACATACTTTTCTTTCTTGATGTAAAATGAATAGAAGTCAATTACTGTATATAGTGACTATTAAGTCTAATATATATATACCCTAGTAAGCTATAGTACTTTTTCCTTTGGGAAGGTACCATCTGTGCAGTCTGCAATTTTGTTGAAGAAAGATGTTGAATCTATTTAATATTTCTTGAAAAATAATTGATTTCTGTGCTTTTTTTTTTTCACACTGCATCAAATTAAGGTTGATTACGTTGATTAAGCATCATGAGGTGGAGTGTGAGGGGTGGTTCCCTATTTTTTATTTATTTATTTTTGTTGTTGCTGGGAGTTGGAACCCTATTAGTTAGGTTGCTTAATATTTACGCTAAGTACTCTTTAAAATACCAGAATAGGGAGGATGGTGTAGGTTTAAGTTTATTAGATTGATCAGTATTGCTGAACTATGAAATTTTTTTTTTTTGCATACAGGTATAACAGAATAGCTTTAGTGTAGTTGTTGTTTTAAACTTGAGTATGAACTTATACAAAATGCAGCAAGATATTTAAAAAAAAACAGTTTTGTTGATTAAAAAACACTATATCGGATTCATATCGGTATCGGCAGATATCCAAATTTATGATATCGGTATCGGACATAAAAAAGTGGTATCGTGCCATCTCTAATGCAAACTCCTTTTTGCACAGTTTGCACAAAAACATGCTTTTATCAAGGCTTCCCTCGGGTAGTCTTTTGAAAAGAAATGTGCCTCTGACCAGTCCTACCAACGCACTTTCTTCTGATTCTTCCATTTTTGTAGCTCTGATGTGTGCATCAGTGTAATCGGTATACCAGGAAATTGACAAAAGCCCCCTTTTGCTTGGAATGCAAAGTGCGATTAAATGCATTATTTTTTTAACATTTTATTTTTTTCAAATTAATTAATCGCAATTAACGTGTTAAATTCCCACCCATATATAAAAAAAACCTGCACTGAAGTATTTAATTTGTTTTAAATATCACTCCAGTTAAATTTCTGACCATTACTGCCTACTCCAGCTGCTTTTATCCTGAACTCCCCCCCCACACCAATTAATTTATTGATATACTGTACCACTGAACTTATTTTAGTAGAACAAGAACACAATAAATAAATATAAATATCTCAGTTTTGAATCACAAATACAGATATAAACTGAAGCCACAAATTAGTTAAAAACCCAATCTATGAAACAAGTGTGCAAATATCACAATACTGCAATAATACAAATCATGTGCGAACATTTAGGCAGCCAGATGTATCTGAGGGCAGGAACAATCAAAGTACAGAAAGAAGGTGCTGTATTTCACACTTTTGGAAACATTTATCTTCACTTCACAGGTAGCTGCTAGCCCATACTGAACTTCGCACATCTATGGCGACCTACCGCATCCCAGAATGCATGGCAAGGTGTACTTGCAATGTACACCTGTTAGTTGGGTTCCAAATAGCAGGTGCTGTTACTTTAGCACACACCACACAGCTTTCTCGTGTGGTCCCAGCATCCTACTCAAATAGGGGAAGCATGACGATGGAGATCAGCTGTGTTGGTCAGCCTCCCCTGACACCACATTCTAAACCCACTCCTCCACCAGCCCCCTGTAGTTGAGCCACAAACTACAAACCGCCACATCATTCTTACTTAGACTGTCTGTGTCTCTTGCTTGATTCAATGTGTACTAGAATACTGCTGTTTTGTCTCTGGCACAGGAAGTGCTAGATTTGTGCCTGTTTTTCTTTTAAGCAATTTTAAAACTCTTCCATATATCTGATTATCCACTCTTTTTGTTAGTTTCAAAATATCCAGCGTTAATTTTATTATCAACATCACTCTCCATCTTGCCAACAATCTTAGGACCCACTGTCTACCTTTAGCTGGGCGCTCCTCCCTGTGGCAATGTCAAAACTGACCACTCCCACAAGATTTGTGTTAATGCAAGACTTATATCGTTCATATATTTGCTGATATGCTGGTAAATTGCATGTATTCTAATATGACCCATACCATGCCAGTTTTGATACAATGCTATTTAAGCTGATTTTATTGAGAACATTTTATTTTGTCTACTTGCTGCAGGTAGATAAATGAAAAGATGAAGAGACAGGGTGTGGTAAAAGAAAGGTGGGGGTCGGTGGGCTGGAAGTCACCTCTATTGAAGGTTTGACCTTGGTCCATATCTGACACTGTCAGATGCAGAAAACAACAAGACACAAAAGTTAATGGCCAGCACTGTGCCATTTAAGGGCAGCTATATGCAGGAATTAAATTCTATCCTGATTAACTTGCTATAAAATAGTGCAGTAGGGACTAGTATCCCATTAGTGGAGTCATCTACTGCTGACCAGTTGGAATGAAACCCTGACAACCTTCAGCTTAATAAGTCACAATAAACTCAATAAACTGATCTAATTACAGTAGGTAGGAGTGTCTGTTAATGAAAGATAAAGTATGCTCCACATAGCAAGAGGACATTCAACTTATAGCTTAAGACACCTCTTTTAGTGAAATACGTCACTTACAAGATTGAAATTAGCAAAGAATGGGAGAGTGAGAGGAGAGACACAAAGTTGATAAGACATGGTACCTTCACTTTCGATTGTGTCGACTGCATCATTTACCAGTCGAATGACGGTCACTATGGAGGCTTGCAGAGAGAGAAAAGGAGCAGATATATAACATATATCTGAAATATAGGCATTCAGATTTGAAAATGCTCATCCTGTTGTCGGTCAAGTGTGTCCTCATGACCGAGTAATTAATTATGGCTGCCCACTACTTTCTCTGATCTCTGCAGAGGACTACCTCACCTGATTACCTGCTGTTTTAATGTTGGGAAGAAAAAGACACACTGCCAGACAAAGAAAATTTATAAAAGCAAAGAAAGTCATGTGGGAACAAGACATTATAAAACTAACATTCTTCTGCTTCTTGCCAGTTTTGCCAGATAAAGAGCAGGTGTGTTAACACCTGTCTTTGGCAAGCACAGGAAAGAAAATGGCAAAATAATTTGTACAACTGGGGAAAAAAATTCCAGGTAATTAACTGATGATTTTAAACAATGTAACTAGCATTTCTGAAGAATTACCATTCTGTGAAGTAAAATTAAAAATTTACTCAGAGGAATCTGTCTGTAAAAAAAACAAACAAAAACAACAACAACACAAAAGCAAAATACACAACTCCTTCACAAAAGCCACAACTACCAATAAAAGTTTGGAAAGCCACCAAAATGCCTTAGCTTGTCTGTGAATGATCTGTCTCACCACTTTTTATATCTTGGAATATCTATCCCACGAATTCCTACACTCAGCAGCGGGTCATCATACGATGTCGCCTCCCATTTAAAATTCTGTATACTTGGAAACATTCTCGCTTGAAAGAAACAATGAACAGCCATATAAAAAAAGACATATTACATTTTCATTTTATGGGACAATGCAGATGACGGTTTAAGTTTCAGTGACAAAATATTATCCTTTTTTTTTTCATTCTCCTCTCATCTCCTGTCTTGTACTCTGACATATACCCATCATTGCCCTCTCTATCCACTGCTACCCACGCTGACAGTGTCTTTCGGTATTTTTATCTGATTATTATTGGTTTTATTTGTTTCGTATAAGAATATTCACAAATATTTCAAAAGCATTTTGTCCCACAGGTGAAACCCAAATGTGACGGGCTGGTTTTGCATGGATAATGGTGAGCAAAACGAATAAAAAGAAGAAAGCAACTCCTGTTGCAACCAAAAGTTAAACAAAAGCAAACTAGAGTATTCAAAGAATCATGAAGCACTTTTCTAATGGGTGTGTCTTACCATTGTCATCACAAGAATCAGACTGAAAGGAGCTCAGTGACTGGACCTCTGAGTTACTGCCTTTGTTGCTTCCTGAGAAACATGTTACTTCTTCTGCCATGTCGCCCACCTTACCTGTAGGAAAAAGTCAGGGGGTAAGGGAAGATTGTAAAGCAAGCACAACTCTGTGTATGTTATGCAAAAACATTTATTAAGACATCATATTTAGGTAGTGCCTTCAGTGGCTCCAGTTGTAACTGATAGTGTACCTGTCCTACAGCCTGCATTAAAAAAAACAAACATCTGGGATTGTTGACTGAGCAGCAAAATACAATTTAATGTTAGTACAAAGCTTCTATAATTCATGAATAAACCTGCATAGTAAACACTGCAATGCCTCAGTAAACCAAGAGTGACTTATTCTAACTAGGAGACAAATTGTATAAAATTCACTCACACTCATCATTATCCCATGGGCTCTTGCATATGGAGTCACAGTCTGAGCGACATGGTGAGACTGGTGGAAGGTTGGGGGCCACGCTGCACACCACCACCCCTCTCCTAGTGGTTCCTGAAAGGATCCTTGGTGACTCAGGGTGAAAGGTACTCATCTCTGTATGTTCCACACTGCGTCCATCTGCCATCTTCTCTAGCGTGGAACGTGGGTCTCCTTGGAAACAGGGCGTGTATGCCATGGGTCTAACAGGGACCTGTGGAGGTCCCATCATCCCACCCCCTCCCAACATGGCAGACTCCATACCTGGCTCTGAGTACAGGTTGAGAGGGTCTCCTGAGGTGCAGTGTAAGGTCTTAAACTGAACACCATTGGCCTTGTTAAGGAGTGCTGCAGTGGCTGGGTCCTGCACCAGAGATAGATTGTTCCGCGAGTAGTTTTTCTGGAAGACCTTCTTGCGGAATGCAATGAAGAGGATGATGAGGGTGATGATGACAAAAAGTACGACAGCAATGCCAATAAGCTCCTCCCTACCAACCACAGCATGACCAGCCTGCATGTCGGGGACAACAACAGGCCTCAGGCCACAGCGCTGACCCACAAAGCCTGCCGTGCAGTTACAGTAGAAGGAGCCGTGAGTGTTGATGCAGGTGCCACCATTCTCACACTCCCCCTCTGGATTCCTGCGGTCACATTCGTTCACATCTTCCTCACAACTGCAGGATAAAAGGATGGAAATAGAATGGAAGAGACCAGTGTGAAAAGCCTGTCAATAAAGAAAAAACTGCACAAGTATGTATCCATATGTAGCCTCACATTAATACCTTTCTCTGATGTTTGTAACCATCAACATATTATAGTGTCATTTATCTTCTAATAAAATCAGAGAGAAGAATGTGTTAAAAAGAGAAAGAAAAAAAAAGAAGAGTCATTTCACCTATAATTAAAATATATGAAAAGGGAAACATTTATGCAGGAAAAAAAATTGCTTTGAAAACTACAGACTCTTCAGTTCTCAAAGATATAGTATTTGAACAACTTTCCAAACTTTGAAATTTTCCAAAAACAAAATTGTCCTAAATTGTAGACACCAGGTGACCACTTTCTAATCTGTGGTCACCCTAATCTCTACGCTGTGAGCAGAGTTACACTTAATAACCAAATGAAAGATAATGCACTAAATGTTTTATGTTTGTCTGATAACTGTTGGATTTGATCATTTGTAAACAACCTTTTTTTTTTCATTATTTTGTTAATGTGACTGTTCAGTGAGCAGCAATAGACCTCTGCTACACTAGGATCTGAATGAAGAGACATTGCTAAAGGGTGTAAGAATGACATTTGTACAGAGTGACTCAACTGTTCAGAATGGTGCATGCCAGGTTTGTGTGTTTTCACTCAGACTTACATCAGGCCCCTGAAGCCTCTCCTGCAGCTGCAAAGAAATGCATTGCCAATGGGCTTACACACACCGCCGTTATGACACGGGTTGGGAACACATGCTGTTATCTCCATCTCACAGTGCCCCCCAGTGTACTGGGGTTTACAACTGCATGAGAACCCTGGGAGACAGACAAAGTGTAAGACTTCATTAAGAACAGATCACTTCTTTTAATGTACAGCACTCACTTCTATACAAACACACACACAATTTTGACCTAAAATAATATCATTTTTAGATTGAGCACTACAGGACTCATTAAAGGTGCTGGGGGCTGGCTTCGATGGAGGTGGGGAGCCACATTATTGCCCAGACTGCCCTGCAGTCATGTATATTGGTCCTCTGCCTCACTCTCCCCTCCTGGCTTTCATTTTATTGCAAACCCTCTAATCCCTCTATATACTTAGATTATTTAAAATAATACATAATTTATTTATATATACACACATATTATACAAGTAAATAGGACATGTGTGTGTGTGTGTGTGTGTGTGTGGGGGGGGGGGGGTAGATCCAGTACTATAGAAGACGTGACTTGTACACATCTAAACAAATATGCAGAAAAAACAGACCCAGGGGATAGCCCCACTCCCAAAAAGGAAAATATACCACCAAGTGGAATATTTCTTACCTAAAGCTGAATAAATATATCTAATATTTATTAACCCTGATTTCATAGGGGAGTGAACTACTTGGGTTGAAAACTATTTGGTAAAAGCATCCTGGGCCTAGCTACGCAACATTGATGTAGTACGTACTTAAATGGTGGGAGTGAGCAGAGTTAATGCAGAAAACTCATGCAAACATGGGAAGAAAACACACTCTAAACGGGACCAGGGACCCTTGTTGCAGAGCAAAAACAACATGCTTCAAGAGATCAACCATCATCCCTGTGGCCAAGAACAACAAGCCCTCATGCCGGAATGACTACCGGACAGTTGCACTGACTTCCTGCACACCACCCTTAGCCACATGAACAAGAAACAGGGTAACTATGTGAGACTGCTGTTTGTTGATTACACTTCAGCGTTTAACACAATAGTGCCCGGCAGACTGTTCACAAAGCTGAGGGATCTAGGACTCAACAGCCGTCTGTGTGCATGGGTGTTTGACTTCCTCACTGGCAGAACTCAGGTGGTGAGGGTGGGCAGGTGCGTCTCCGACGGCATCACCATCAACACAAGAGCGCCACAAGTGTGTGTACTCTCGCCACTGCTCTACTCCCTCTACACTTCAGACTTTATGGCCACTCAAGGCTCCAATACCATTGTGACGTTTGCTGATGACACAGTGGTGTTGGGTGCCAACTCCAACAACAGAGACTACAAGCCCATTATCATCAATGGAGTTCCAGTGGAGAGGGTACAGTCCTTCAAGTACCTTGGTGTCCACATCTCCTCAGATCTGACATGGTCTGCCCACATTCAGGTCTTGTCCAAAAAGGCTTGGCAGCGCCTGTACCACCTACAACAACTGAGGAAGTTCAGGGTTTCTCCAGGGATCCTCAGGACTTTCTAGGCACTGTGGAGAGAATCCTCACACAGAACATCACGTCCTGGTATGGACGTGCTGTGTCAAGGACATAAAAGCTCCTCAGAGAGTGATCTGTACAACATAACGTTGCTGCAGGACTGCTCTCCCCTCCCTACAGGACATTTACACCAGGAGATGCTTGTCCAGAGCAGCTCACATATTGAAGGACCTGTTCAACCCCAGCAATAAAATGTTCCAACTTCTGCAATCAGGCAGTAGGTTCTGCACCATCCGGGCAAGAACAGAGAGGTTCAAGAGGAGCTTCTACCCTCAGGTGGTAGACTAACCTAAAAGTCTGTGGTTTTTGTCCTGGGGTAATATACTAAATCCTATTTCATCTAATCCATACATGGCAGAGTGGTGTGTGTGTGTTAGAAAGAATAAAACAGCTTTATAAGTATGTTTGTGAATCTGCGAATGTGTCTTGCACTAAATGGACCAATAAATTGATCAGAAAGCTCCCAGTGTAGTAGATAAAATAAAGTCCTGTATGAATGTGTGTGAATGGGTGTAATGTAGTTTGTAGTGTGTAAATGATTTATACCAGTCTAATTTTCATCTGGGTTTCGAAACACATACACACATTTTGGGAATTTAGGTGAGTATACACATGCACAAATGCCATGTAATACTGCTAATAACTTCAGACAGGCCTTGCAAATGCACACAAAATAGTGGAAAATATAATATGTATACACAATCCATTTCAGAGAATCATAACCTTTCGAATGAACTTTAAAAAAATAGACTTATCTACTTTATACATCAAAACATTATCAGATTAGCTTTAAGAAAAATGGTTAATGCACACAGCTTTGGTGAAATGGATTGGGATTTATATTTTTAGTCATACTACTTCGAGAAGCACTTTTACACTACAGCGCACACACGCACACGCACACACACACACACACACACACACACACACACACACACACACACACACACACACAATCATTCAGTGCTTCATTATATGTGCAATCACACACTCAGCGGTTGATGCATCCAGGGGTAAGAGTAGTAAGGAAACTAATACCTTAATCTTTCAATGTATACTCATTAAAAGATTGAGATGTCATGAAAGACCTCTGCAGCCTTGTGTTTTCTGAGGTGACTGTGCTGTTTCATTTATTTTCTATGACTCACCACCAGCAGGTAGACTTGTACAAGTAGCTCCGTTGTGACATGGCTGCTGCAGACATGCATCAGGGTAGAGAATGCAACCCAGTTTCAGCTCTGTCAGTCCCACCACCTCTGCATACTGCGAACGTTTGTTCTGCAATGGGAGCTCATTGTTGTTCAGCATTACAGAGTCCAGGCAACCTTGGAATCCATAAAGCACCCGGGGGTCCTTCTGGAATTCCATGAGGCTACGAGAGTTTGGGGGCTGCACCTAAGAACAACAAGGGTTAGGAATTTTGAGTTAAAATGCTTGACATAGTCTGCAGGTACTCCTGTCAGCCTACATAGTAAAGCTTGTAAAAATAAAATGTATTTATTTTTAAAATTATCCTGTTTTCAAGAATTACCCAAATTACACGAGATGAAACGCCTGAACTATTTAAAAACTAAAAATCAGGTATATACTAATTAGTTTTTATATGTTTATTGATTATAGATAATTGAAAAACCTTCTGGGAAAAACCTGGTGTGGTTAGGAGAGACCATCCCACTTTGGACCTGATGCTCATTTCTAGAAATCTGGCCAATGTTCTTAAACCACACAAATGTGACTATCCAGAGTTTCAGCTTCAACTTCCTGTTATCCCCCCAAAACCACATCCACATCCACAAACTTTGTTTCCAAACCAACAAAAACGAACCAAAAATCAGCAAAAACCGATTTAAACATAACATAAAAACCACAAAGGATGAATAATATAATATGCACAGCTTCACCAAAGAGTAAAACAGTGCAATGTGGATTATTAAACATTACATCTCTCTTCTAAGTCCCTGTTAGTACATGAATTAATAACTGATCATCAATTCATTTACTTTGCCTTACAGAAATCTGGTTAAGGTTATGTTAGAATCAAGACCCCCAAGCAAACTAACTGTTAGAGTCCACAGGCTGAGAATGGGGATTGAAAGGTATCCAGTTTATTAATCAACCAAAGACCCAGACAGAGTTTTAATTCATTGAAAAGCCTCACGCTTAGCCTTGTCTACCACTGCTGGAAAACTCAAAAGCCAGTTTTATGTGTTGTTATCTATTGTCCAATTGGCACTCACTCAGATTTTCTATCTCAAATTTCAGTCTTTTTAACTTAGTGATCAGTTCAGATAAAATAATTGTGAGTGATTGAACATTCATGTAGTTACTAAAAAATAGTCTCAGATTTTCACAGATGATATCAAGCTATCACTTGACAAAGCTGTCTTAGCTAATTATAGGCCAATCTCCAACCTTCGAACAGTTGTAAAATAGCTAACTGATCACCACTAGAGCCATGGTTTACTTCAACATTTTCACTCAGTTTTCAAAGCTCATCAAAGTAGAGTAACAGCTTTACGACAGGTTACTGCAGTGGACTCATGTCTGTGTCTATCCTGCTAGACTTACAGCCTTCTTCCTGTTTAAAGGGAGTTTTTCCTTCCCACTCTCACCAAAGTGCTTGCTCGTAGGGGGTTGTCTGATTGTTGGTTCTTCTGAGGCCATGTCTATGCCCTGTCAACAATGACAAGCTCAGAGGGTAGCAGCTTGTTCTTTAAGGATAAACCACTTATTTTTGTTGGTAAATAGAGGGAAGACCTGACTGTGAAGCAAGCTGCTAGAGGTCTGTGGTTTTTACTGTCTTCAGATCAGTTACTATCTGTGAAACACAGCTAGCATTAACAGGTAAACGAGGTTCAGTGATTTAACATTGTAAGGGATGAGTTTCCGTTTGCCATCTGCCCTTGGTCAACATGTCTGGTGTAAAGGAGATGAAGTATGAAAAAGCTGTTAATAACTCCTGTAGGCAGTTATTAACCCTAGGTACTCATGAACTGACCAGTGCTCCAAAGAAGATAGTTGTAGGTAGTCTCTGTACAAATGATGGTCCACGGCGTCGTTCAACATAGCTGTCATCAAGTGCCAAGCTGCTGAAGTTGCGATTCAGTTCAAGTCCAATTGTGTGCCAGCTCCCATCATTGATACGACGACCCGAGATGCCCAGCATGTCAGGGCTGTCATCATTTCCACCAAGGCCACAAGCCAACTGGAACCACAGCTTCCCATCCTCCAACTGCATGGAGACACACACACACACACACACACACACACACACACACACACACACACACA